TATGTGAGCCGAGGAGTATGTCTGAATTCATCCAATTTGAAAATCAGTATGTGAGAAGTGCCTGAATGACCGACTACTACTGGCGAGATTCTAAAGTGTGCATCCAATGGTTAAGTCCGCCCCTTGGCCCAGTAGTATGTTAACTTCAAATGCAGCACCTAGTAAGCAGTAGGAGATTTTGAACGCAGGCTTGTTATTTACAGCTGCATTTTCCAAACGGTTTTCACTTTGTTTAGGATTAAACTGCATTAAACTGCAAGTGCTCATTCATTCATTCATTCATTTTCTTGTCGCTTAGTCCCTTTATTAAAGGGGGGGGTCGCCACAGCAAGTTTTGCCCTTCCAGCTGCAACCCATGTCTGGGAAACATCCACACACACACTCATCCACTACGGACAATTTAGCCAACCCAGTTCAACTGTACCACATGTGTTTGGACTGTGAGGAAAACCGGAGCACCCGGAGGAAACCCATGCGAAGGCAGGGAGAACATGCAAACTCCACACAGAAACACCAACTGAGCTGAGGTTCGCGACCCAGCGACCTTCTTGCTGTGACCTTCTACTGCGCCATTGCGTCGCCATAAGTGCTGATTCAGTTGTTAAATGTATGATGTGAGTATCTGGGGTGGTGTGTGAAGTCAGTATGGTGGTCTGGTGTGTGTGATGTCACTAGTGTGTGTGTGTGTTCTGTGGTGTACCTGCGCCGGCTCTCTCTCCATCTTCAGTGCAGTTCTCCACTGCTGCCGCGCTGCTGTTCTCTGTGTCCACCTTCAGCTCTCCAACCTGATGCTGCAGCAGCTTCATCAGACTCCAGCAGCTCTCCTGAACACACACACACACACACACACATGCATGCGTTAAACACGCTGTGCTATTTTGCATGTCTAATCATGGCATATGTGCCAAACTAACAGGTAATTGTATAGTTGAAGTCAGAATTATTCACCTCCTGATAAATGTTTATTGTTTTCATTTTTTTTCCCCAGTTTCTGTTTAACGGAGCAGATTATTTCAGCACATGATCATTCTAGTTTTAATATCTTATTTCTAATAAATAATTTCTGTTCTCTTTGTTATGATGACAGATGAACGTGGCATGTGCCAGACGGTCTGCTATGCGCATTTCAGAAACTGCTGATCTGCTGGGGTTTTCACGCACAACCATCTCTAGGGTTTACAGAGAATAAAGAGGAAATATCCAGTGAGCGGCAGTTCTGTGGGCGCAAATGCCTTGTTGATGAGGCCAGAGGAGAATGGCCAGACTGGTTCCAGCTGATAGAAAGGCAACAGTAACTCAAATAAGCACTCGTTACAACCGAGCTCTGCAGAAGAGCATCTCTGAACACACAACACGTCCAACCTTGAGGCGGATGGGCTACAGCAGCAGAAGAGCACACCGGGTGCTAGAAATATGTACCTAATAAAGTGGCCGCTGAGTGTATAAAGGGAATAAAATGGGCCAGCCTAGTGACTGGGTGTTTATGTGTGTGTGTGTGTGTGTGTGTGTGTGTGTGTGTGTTGTTTTCATTCCTCTGTCTGCTGCAGTCAGTCTGTCAGCGCTCTTTAAGCTCCAGCTGACCAAAGAAACTCAGTGTGTGTGTCATCCGTCTGTTCCGACAACACAAACACACACACACACACACACACACACACACACACACACCTTCAGCACACTATTACAGAAACTTCGAGAGTGCTAGAATTATTGCATGCAAGCTCACTGTCACACACAGCACACACACACACACACACACACACACACACACACACACACACACACACACACACACACACACACACACACACACACACACACACACACACACACACATTGCAATGAGTGTCAATGATGACACCTTAAGGTAGATGAGTGTGTGTGTTTGGGGGAGCTATGTTTACCAATGTAATGTTCTTATTTAGGTATTTGTGTGTGTGTGTGTGTGGGGGGGGGGGGGGGGGGTTGTGTACGTGTGTGTGTGTGTGTGTGTGTGTGTGTGTGTGTGTAATGTGCAAGTCTCTCTCTCTTTTTATATTATTGTGTGTGTGTGTGTGGGGGGGGGGGGGGGGTCCCCAAATCAGATCAAGCACTAAAGGCTGTCAGCTTAACCTGATGAATCACACACTCATCACCATGGAGACGGCCAGATCCAATCAATCTGACCAAAACATCTCGCTATCAATTATTCATACTGACCACTTTATACAAGGACACGATCAGGTCAACACACACACACGCACGCACGCACACACGCACGCACACACACACGCACACACACGCATGCACACACACACGCACGCACACACACACGCACACACACGCACGCACACACACACGCACACACACGCACACACACACGCACGCACACACACACGCACGCACACACACACACACACACACACACACACACACACACACACACACACAGTGTATCTTCCAGTTTTACGGTCGTCTCTCCTCATGTTGTTTATGCTGTATATTCTCTCGTCTCCCCTAAACTCAACCCTCACAGCAAACACTCTGCTTCATCTGTCAGCCCTTTTCCTCATGAACACCGAAATAATGTCCCCACAGGGTCAAAATTAACTGGTATTGGTATATTTGTGGGGACATTTGGTGCTCAATGTAGTGCATAGTGTAATATAGTAGACCACACACACACACACACACACACACACACAGTGTATTCCTGGATCAGTGCTGACAGCAATCTGACACAAGACAACAGCCGGAAACACTTCACACGCTGGCCTCATTTCATCTCTGTGTGTGTGTGTGTGTGTGTGTGTGTGTGTGTGTGACGGCTGTTTGTGCTGTGCAAACACAAATGAGTGTGTGTGTTTCTGCAGACCCTCATCAAACACCATCAGGTCATTCGGGTCACAAACTGCAGCAGCAGCACTCCACAATAATCGCCGCTTCACATGACAGTCTGACCTGTAGATTCACCAGTGATCAGACGAACGCTGTGATTAACACTTCTGTCCTCCGGCTTCGCTAATAAAGGGGCTCCATGATGGCAAAAATGACTGTTATGCAGGGTTTAACCCCAGTTGTGTGTGTGTGTGTGTGTGTCAGCAGTGTGTGAGTATCTCCAGCAGCCTCTAATGCTCAACATGTATTAATTGTGTTTGTTCTGATCAGACTTGATGCAGAAACACTGTGATTGAAATTCTCCCTTTGTACGTGTCATCAGAGGGGGAAGCCCCGCCCACAATTCTACCTCATTAGCATGTCCAGCAGGCCTAAGTGAGAAGCAGCCGTCTGTCCATTCGCCATTAGAGTGTTTGAGCTGCTGAAGATGATGTCAGCATAGACTAAGAGCATTATAGATGTGGAGTTCTAGATGAACAGAGACAGGAGCCACATAGACTGACTGAAGCATCAAGCACACACACACCTGAGCAGCACTCACAACACAAACACTGCTGTTTCACATCTGCCGTCTGTAGCTCCGCCCTCTTCTAAAAAGAGCACAACCTCATTTGCATTTAAAGCGACAGTCACCAAAACACCACAATGAGGATCACAGCCTAAAAGGGTCAGTTTCAGAGAGCTGGAGGACATCATCTGTGTGCTGTTCTCAGCTCAAACAAACACACACACACACACACACACACACACACACACAAGAGAGACAGCAGAGATGCATGTACAGCTTGTAGAAAGAGGTCTCCTTTAAATGCACACAGAACTGTAAGTTCTCTCCCCTCACCCCCTTCTGTTGAACTCAAGTGCAGATATCCTGAAGAATGCTGGAATAAAGTCTGTTTCTTTGCCAGCATTCTTCAGGTTATCTTCCCTCGTGTTCAACAGAAGACAGAATCTCCCTCGGTGTATCAGGATGGAGATAAACTCATATCAGAGCTGACGAGCGTCTGTGAAACATCATCATCATCATCATCATCACTGTAAACTCAAGAGGTCTGCGTCTGAGGAATGTTCAGCACTGGCAAACATGTGTGCAGCTTGATCAATATTTACGTCTTATTGTTGCGTTTTTCTGCTTTGTGTTTTGGTTTCCTGCTCTCAGAATGTGGCATTAGGTACGGCAGTGCACTATGAGGATATACAGTGTTCATTATTAATGAGTCGAGCCCTCACAGATCTCTCCTCTACAGTCATATTCTCTGCAGGACGCTCTACTGTAATATATCAGTACCAGTGACAAAACTGATCAACTCATCTACCAAAAACACTGACGATCACAGAACAAATACAGTGAAAATACAGTTTGACTCTGGTTTTAACCGTTTTAATTATTATTTTCTAATCTTTATACTTCTTGTTTTGTGGTTATTTTATTGCTTTTAAACCTGTTTTATTACATTTTCATTTTTTTAATCATTAATTATTTGTTTTGTTAATTTCTTATTCTTGTTTTGTGATTATGTTATTGCGTTTAAACCGGTTTAAATACATTTTTAATCATCTTAATTATTAGGGTTAGGGTAGCCCTAACCATTTTAGTTATTTATTTTTATTTCTTATACTCGTTTTGTGATTATTACTATTCCTTAAATCTTTTTTAATACATTTTTACTATTGATTTTTTAAATTTCTTAAACTTCTTTTGTGATTTTGTATTCCTTTAAACATGTTTTATTACATTTTAATTATTTGTTTTCTTTTTTTTTCTTTTTCTTGTTTTTCTTTTTTGTGATTATTGTTTTAATACACTTTTAATCTGTTTTTATCATTAATTATTTGTTTTTTCTTATACTTGTTTTGTGATTATTTTATCTTTTAATTCATTTTAAACCTGTTTTAATACACTTTTAATACATTTTAAATATTTGTTTTTATTTTTTACACTTCTTTTGCGATTATTTTGTTCATTTTAAACCTGTTTTAATACACTTTTAATCTGTTTAGTCATTTTAATTATTTGTTTTTTTTCTAATACTTGTTTTGTGATTATTTATTCTTTTTAAACCTGTTCTAACACATTTAATTCTGTTTTAATCATAATTTTTTTTCTTATACTTGTTTTGTGATTATTTTATCTTTTAATTCATTTAAACCTGTTTTAACACATTTTTAACACATTTTAAATATTTGTTTTTATTTCTTACACTTCTTTTGTGATTATTTATTCTTTTTAAAGTGTTTTAATACATTTTAATCTGATTTTAATCATTTTGATTATTATTTTTTATTACTTATGCTCAGTTTGTGATTGTGTTATTCATTTTAAACCTGTTAAAATACATTTTTACTCTGCTTTATTCATTTTAATAACTTTTCTTATTTCTTATACTTGTTTGTGATTATTTTATTTCTTTTAACCCTGTTTTAATACATTTTTGATCTGTTTTTTATTATTAATTATTTGTCTTTTTATCTTTTGTAATTACTATATTTTTCATTCCTTTTAAAGCTGTTTGAACACATTTTGTTTTTTATGATTTGTCTTGTTCATGTAAACCATTTTAAAACACCATTATATATGAATGTGCAATATAAATATCCGTGCCTTTCCTAATAAATGCTTGATAAGTATTTTTCACATGTAGTTCATGTTAGTCTATTCATTTAACTAATGCTAAGACATTGTACCCGAAAACAAAGCACAAAAGAGATGTTTTATTTCATTTAGCCCAGACCTGGTGTCCACCATGCAGCTCTTTATGATCAGATCTATGAATGATGTCATTTATTATTCATTATTAATGATCTGTTTGTTTTGATGAGGAACAGAAGAGTCACTCCCGTCCTGTGCAGATTCAGCAGAACACTTTCTCTGCTTCAGTCTTCTGTAATAAATCTCCAGAAACCAACCCGTTCAGCTCACTAACAATATTAGTGTTCTGTGGGTCAATAAATCACTGACTGACCGCTGAACATGCTTCTCTCGGGAATATCACAGTCATTCCCACATGAGAAATACAGTACAGTCGTTTACTTTCACAGAGCTGCGTTTAAATAACCCAGCACTTCTGTAAAGTGTACTGCATACTGTTCATATTATGTTAATATAACTCCAGCACACTGTGGTATCAGTGAAACAATCAACTGTAATAAACAATGCAGTATACTTTAGTTTTACTGCGGTATTCTGTGGTGTATTGTAGTTTAATAAACCATTTAGTTGTAGAAAACTACAGTGTTGGGTCATTTGTTATTATGTTTATAGTACTGTGGTACTTTTGTTACTATAGCAACTGTAGCATCACCACAACAGATCAATTACTATAGCTGTTGTGTCACCATAGCAACTGTAGAATCACCATAACAGATCAATTACTATAGCTGTTGTGTTACCATAGCAACTGTAGAATCACCACAACAGATCAATTACTGTAGCTGTTGTGTAACCAACAGCAGAATTCCCACAATTCTTTAGCATGAATAAAAACACTTACTATAAAATTTACAACAGTTTTGTTTGTCTTTCGGCACATAAAATACTTGAATATTTGAAACATTTTGCTATAATAATCATGATAACTAGGGTCGGGCCGATAAACAATATTATATTGAATCTGGATAAAATTTATGTCAATAACAATGATTAGCTCTGGCCTTTTTAACTCTATATTGATCTAACACAGCAGAAATGTGCAACAGTGGGAATCTAAAAGTGTGTTGAAATTAGAGATGTGCTGATTTTTTTACTTTTCTGAAAGTATGTTATTAAGGAAAAAGTCAGAATGTGCGATTATAAAACCAACTTCACCATAATTATTAGTTTTTCCTACTATGGAAGTCAATGGTTGCAGGTTTTCAACATTTTTCAAAGTATCTTCTTTTGTGTTTCTCAGAAGAGATAACTCGGTTTTTAAAAGGTTTGAAACAAGTAACGGGTTAGTAACTTTCATCTTACTTACTACACCCTTTAAGAGCCGGTTTAACAGACTGAATTGAGCGGTGGGTGGGTGTCTCTTACCGGTGTCCCGCGCGGGCTCTGCTGCTCCGCGGGCCGCCACTGGTGCTCCGGCGGCGGGTCTGGACTGTGGAGTCCCAGCGCGGAGATGATAAGCGCCTGATGCCGCCGCTTGAGCAGCTCCAGCTCGCAGATTCCGGCCAGACTGAGCTCCAGCCGCTGCTTCTGCCGCCCGCGCTCCGAGGAGAACACGCGGAACATCCCGGAGCTCTGCCCGACGGAGGAGCTCAGAAGCTGGCCGCAGCAGCGTCCGAGGATGGGTCCATGCTGGAGAGGAGCTGACAGACAGTCTGAAGAGTTCTGCACATCTGCTGGAGACTCTCACAGCTGACACCGCTCGTTAACATACACGCCCCGCCCCCTGTCTGTTATTGGCTGAACACATAACCCTATGATTAATAATGCATTTAACAACCCCGCCTACAAAAACCAGATGGGCTGTGTCCGAAATCACCCCATTCGACTGTAGTCCACTAGAAGAGTTATGCTCTATTTACTGTATGAAAGACAGGGGGCGACACAGAGGCTTGCTGGTTTGAGTCTCGGCTGGGTCAGTTGGTGTTTCTGTGTGGAGTTTGCATGTTCTCCCCGTGTTGGCGTGGGTTTCCTCCGGGTGCTCCGGTTCCAAACACATGCGCTATAGGGGAACTGATCAACTACACTGGCCTTAGCATAGGAGTGTTCGTGTGTATGAGTGTGTATGAGTGTGTATGAGTGTGTATGTTTCCCAGTATTGGGTAGCAGCTGGAAAGGTTGGCGGTTCATTCCGCTGCAGCAACCCCTGTTGAATAAAGGAACTAAGCCAAAGGAGAATGCTTGAATGAATAATAAGGTGATTGTTAGCAGGTTAAAAGAAGATATTTTGAAAAATGTTGGAAACCTCTAACCATTGACCTCCATAGTATGTATTTGTTCCTATATTTAATCAATACATGTTTCCAACATTCTTCAAAACATCTTCTTTTGTGAATTTAGGAAAAAGAAGCATCTAACTATTGAGGATAAAGTCAGAGTCTGTGGCGCCACCTGCCGGCCACCTCCATCAGCTCCAGTTTAGAGTTTAGAGAGAAACGAAAGCGGATTTAGGGAGCGTCTCTAATTTAATAACTTTAACAGCATTTGAGGAGAATGAACTGTACAACTGTACAGCGTTCATGTAGGTGTCAACTTTAATCTACATCTTTAAATGTTTAATATTTATTCAAATAAAATGTCAACCATGCGTTAAACTGCTATATTTTTGTACATTACATATACATTTAGTGTTTCTAAATCTACTCAATAAACCACAGAATGCAGATTACCGTTCAGTTACTGTCGCTGTGATTGCATAAGATTGTAGAGAAAGAGTTTTAAAAAAAATTAAAAGGTTACAATAAAAATAAAAAATAAAAAAGATTAGTTGAGTGGTTCCCCAACTGAAAAAACAGCTTAAACCAGTCTAGGCTGGATGGCTGGTTTTAGCTAGTCAACCAGGCTAGCTGGTTTTAGAGAGGTTTTGCCACTTCCAGGCTGGTTTCCAGCCTGGTCTTAGTTGGAACATGAATCAAAAGTAAAACCAGCTAAAACCAGCCTAGCAACTTAAGCTGGTTTAAGCTGCTTTTTTAAAGTAGGCATTGTGGCTAGAAGGGATACAGCTGCGGTCGGAAGTCAACGAGAATGAGAATCTTCCATTAATTGTATTTCATTAACGTCTACCTCAACCCTGAACCTCACAGTAATGCATAAACTGTAATTATACAGAGTATTATTCAAATTACTAATGAAATTACTCATAAATTGTTCTTTATTAACACCTACCTAAACTCTCACAGTAATATAAAAACAGTATTTACACTTAGTATTATTTACATTGTGTATTAAATTACCTAATAATTGTTTATTATTAACGTCTACACCTACCACAACCCTAACAGTAATGTAAAGACAGTATTTATGTCATGCAGTGTCATGGAAGTAGTTGTATATTGATGTTAGTATACAATCCGCAGCTGTATCCCATCTAGAATTTACTGCAGTTTCCCGCCAGTAGCAGCAGAGGGCGCGCGTGCGCAGTCGGTCATTTTCTGGATTCCTCGCAGTCGCGGTGATGATCCTGAGTGAGTTCAGCTGAGGAGAAACACCAAAACACCGACACTGCTGGAGGAACTGTCTGAGTAATCAGTCGGTGAATTGCTAAACTCTTGTGGTTTGAAGGGTGGTGGAAAAGTATGACTAATATTAAATGTGGCTCAGTGAGTAGCACAATCGCCTCAAATCAAGAAGGTCGCTGGTTCGAGCCTCAGCAGGGTCAGTTGATGTTTCTGTGTGGAGTTTGCATGTTCTCCCCATGTTGGCGTGGGTTTCCTCCGAGAGAAAGAGAGTCTCTGTATTGTGCGTGTGTGTGTGTGTGTGTGTGTGTGTGTGTGTGTGAGTGTGTAGTCCAAATCCTCTCTCTGGAGCAGGCTGATAATCCTCAGCTTTATCTGCAGCTGCTGCACAGGCCAGAGGAAACACTGATACACACACACACACACACACACACACACACACACACACACACACACCCCTTTAAATAATACACATATCTGCATACAAACAAACACACATACACAAACAAGCATGTACACACTCACACACAGTCAAACACGTTTACACACACATAAACTAACATGCATGTACACACATGCAAATGCACCCAGGCACACAAATGCATACACACGCGTGCACGCATAAACATATATATCCACACACACACACACACTATTATTGTGTCCTCTGGATGTTTTCCAGATTTACACATTTATTTCATTCACTCATTCATTTTCCTTTAGCTTACTTCCTTTATTAATCAGGGGTTGCCACAGAGGAATAGCCCGCCAACTATTCCAGCATATGTTTTACAGAGCAGATGCAACCCAGTACAGGGAAACGCCCACACACACTCATACACTACGGCCAGTGTAGTTGATCAGTTCCCCTATAGCGCATGTGTTTGGACTGTGGGGGAAACCAGAACACCCAGAGGAAACCCACGCCAACACGGGGAGAACATGCAAACTCCACACAGAAACACCAACTGACCCAGCTGAGACTTGAACTAATGACCTTCTTGTTGTAGTGCGAATGCACACATGCTTTATCATCAACACTGACTCGACTGTAGATGTTCCTGATGGCGCAGCATTAGTTCTTCATCTTGATGTTTTGCAAAGCTGATAACAGCAGATCTGAGCTCAGCCTCGTCTGATCCTCATGTTATTGCCTGCAAACTCAATATACTCAACTCAATCCCTCAGTTTATATAGTTTATATCTGCAAAACCTGTAGACCAGCCTGCTGGATCGCTCTGGGCACAACAGAAGGAAGGATTTAGAAAAGCTCCGAGCACATTTGAATCATTGTGCGATCATTACATGCATATATTATACTAGTGTACACACATTTGTTTTAAAACTATTACTAAACCTAACTTAACATACAAATCCCTCCATATACAGCGGGGGAAATTAATATTGAACACGTCAGGTTTTTCTGGGAATAATATCTGTAAAGGAGCTGCTGACATGAGCCAGAGTTTGGTAAAAACCCCAAACAATACAAATATAAACATGAGACGGAAGATATCTGAAGAATTGTTCTGTGTAATAACAGTGGAATGACAAAAGTGCTGAACTGAAGTGTGTTTAATACTGTATATAAAAGGCTTTATTAATGACGGCAGTCTAAAGTCGTGTCTCATATGGAGAATGAAGCCTCATGCAGTGCTCAGGTGTGAGTTTCTCTCAGTCTTCATCAGAGTGTGTAAATCTTAAAGCTTCTGTGGGTCTCGTCTATCAGATCTGAGCTGTTTTCTGTATTCTCTATTGGATTGGGGTCAGGTGATTGGTTGGGCCATTCTACAGCTTGATTTTCTTTCTCTGAAAGCATCTGAGAGTCTCCTCGGCTGTGTTTGGATCATCGTCTTGCTGAAATAGCTTGATCTTCATCCTCCTGCTGATGTAGATGTTGGACTGAAGCAGCTGATCTTCATTGACACTGAGGAAGGGCAGAGGCTTGCTGAAGAACCACTGACAGATTCAGCTGCTGTCTGGGTGTTCACTGCACAACTACACCTTCCTTTCTTCATGTGTAACACTTTTTACCTGCATCATTTCATTTTATTATGCCTAACTTTATTTGTAAATTAATTAGATTTGTTTTCTTTGCATATCTAAGTCAACAGCACCTTTAGAAATATGTTTTCTAAGAAAAATGGTGACGTGTTCAATACTTATTTCCCCTGCTGCACACTCATGACTTCTTATGGATGTGTGCAGACGTCATGGAGTTAAAATAATGACAAAGAGACTGGCAGGAGTAGAAAACATTCCTAAATTATATTTATTTGGACAATCTTCAGATTTAAGACACTCACACACACACGCACACAAGCACACGCACACACTCATACACACAGTAAATAATTACAGAATAATCACAGCAAGGCTCGTTTGACCATATTATAATTGCACTTTTAAATGTGGAGCCCAGAATATGTCATTTCACACACACACACACACACACACACACACACACACACACACACACACGAATGAATCAATAAATAAAAAGTGAAGGAATAACATATTTAAGATGCTGATGGATCCTGTGTTGAAGGCGTACTGAACAATATTTGAACAACCACAGAATCCCAAAACACACTTGCAGCCAATCAGCAGCAAGGGGCGTGTCAAGATGGAGATATCAAAAAACAGCGTGTCTAGAAATTATGTTGGAGATATAAAAACAGGCGTGTCTAGTTAAAAAGGGGCTTGTCTAGTAATGATAATAGCAATATAAAAGGGGGTGTGTCTAGTAATGACAATGTAAATATGAAAGGGGCGTGTCTGGTAATGTTAATAGCGATCTAAAAAGGGGCGTGTCTAGTAATGATAATGGAAATATAAAAAGGGGTGTGTCTAGTAATGATAATGGAAATATAAAAAGGGGCGTGTCTAGTAATGTTAATAGCGATCTAAAAACGGGCGTGTCTCGTAATGATAATGGAAATATAAAAAGTGGTGTATCTAGTAATAATAATAGCGATATGAAAAGAGGCGTATCTAATATTGATGATTGAAAAATAAAAAGGGGCGTGTCTAGTAATGATACTATCAATATAAAAAAGGAGTGTGTCTAGTAATGATAATGAAAATATAAAAAGGGGCGTGTGTAGTAATTATAACAATAGTGATGTAAAAAGGGGCGTGTGTAGTACTGATAATGAAAAAAACAAAAAGAGGCGTGTCTAGAAATGGTAATAGAAATGTAAAAAGAGGCACGTCTAGTAATGATAATATCGATATAAAAGGGGCGTGTCTTGTAATGATAAAGGGAACAAAAAGGGGCTGATCAAGTAATTATAAGAATATAAAAAGGGGACGTGTCTAGTAATGGTAATAACAATATAAAAAAGGGGTGTGTCTAGTAATAATATCAATCTAAAAAGGGGCGTGTCCAGTAATGATAACAGCGATCTTATAAGGGGGGTGTCTAGTAATTATAATAGATATATAAAAAGGGGTGTGTCTAGTAATGATATTAACAATATTAAAAGGGGCGTGTCTAGTAATGATGATAAACAAAAGGCGCGTGTCTAGTAATAATAATAGATATATGAAAGGGGTGTGTCTAATAATGATAATAACAATATTAAAAGGGGCGTGTCTAGTAATGATGATAAACAAAAGGGGCGTGTCTAGTAATGCTAATACTGAAGAGAAGAGGTACAATGTGTCAGTGTTGATCATCAGATGTCAGCATTAACCCTTTAGATCAGCCTGTGCTGAAGAGTTTCACACACACACACACACACACACACACACACACACACACACACACACACACACACACACACCATATAAAAGCCAGAAACTAGTACAGTAAATGGTAAAAATTAGTAATTGTCTTAATTCCAACAGTCAATGGAGCAAAAACAGCACCAACATAACCAACGGGGAGTGGATCTGAGTGTATTGTTGAGTTTTTACAAAACTCCAAAGCATTTTCTCAAAATATATGTCAAAATAAGATTTGTCAGCCAAAATCAATCCATTTGCTGAAACACAGAGAAAGCTGTGGCCAAATTAAGCCTCAAAGAGTGAATGAAAAAGTCCCCAACAGCACCGGGATAACTCATGACTCGTCATGTCCGTCAGGATTCTGGGTAAAGCTGTCCTCCTCCTGTTCTATCTGTGCAGCTGCATGTGTGTGTGTGGCGGCTCCAGCAGCGGCGGGACGCTCTCGAACCCTCGGCCCAGCATGCGCTCCTTGATGCAGGCCGGATGGATCCCGCTGATCAGGCTCTCCAGAGAGCGCAGACTGCTGCTGAGGCCGTGAGGAAAGCCGGGGTACACGGCCGGATGCTTCCCCAGACCTGTGGAGCCACCGGCGGGCAGCGCTGGAGCCTTAAAACACTCACTATCCGGAGTCACCAGAACACCGGACCAAGCAGGAGCCAAAAACTGTCCTGCCGAAAACTCACGCACTGCAGGAGATGATGAGAGTTTGCTTTCAGATCTGTAGCAGACCTCTGAGATTCTGATGCTGGGTCTGCTTGCGGAGCCGTACCCCTGCACACAATAATCCAAACCCGCAACATCTGCGCTCTGTGTGGGCAAAACAGCTCCGGAGTGTCCGCTCTGAGTGAGCGATACTCCCGAATCAGCGCAGGACGCTAGTATGGAAGGGTTGGATGGCCGGGAGGTGTGCTGGGCCACACACGGCATCTGCTGGAGCGGTGCATACGGAGCGGCCGCCTGTTGTATTGGAGACAGTTTGGTTCGTTTGCCATGGTGATTTTTTAATACTCCTTTAATCTGCGCATGTGTTTTGGCGATGGTCAGCAGGCCCTGGTAGGCGCTGGGGTGTTGATGCGGGTAGGGGCTGAATCTGGTGTCCAGGCCGTTGACGGTTCTGCTGATCTGCTTATGCTGAGGGACTCTGATGCTGGAGGGGAAGATCCGGATGGTCAGCGGGTTGTGGGACGTCCTCTGCATGTAGGCGTCCAGATCAGCCGCAGACGGGTATCGAGGCGCGCACACAGGGGTCAGATCATCTGCGGACACACAGAGATGCAGAGGGTAAATGGTAGGGCTGGGGGAAACAAACAGATGCATCAGGACCCTTTCTCTAACATGGCAATACCTTTCTAAAGTTCAGAATCAATTCAGCTTTCACATTAGTTTATGATGGTGTGGGTCTGTTAGAAACAGCTTTTATATCTGCAACGGCACGGCAGAACAACAGCATAAACTGAAGGGTTTATTCTGTGAAAAACTACCACCTACATGTACTTTATCCTGCTAATTGCACAGGTTCCTTATGCAAAATGTAAAACAAATAGACACCAAACTGTGTTCTGAGCCATAATATTTATTATTTATTGATTAAATGCTAAGCTAACAGAATGAAAACAGCTGATGGAGTATACACTAACCTGCACATTATTCAGACACAACATGGAGACAAACAGTCAAAAACTAAAACAGCTGATGGAGTATACACTAACCTGCGCATTATTCAGACACTAGATGGAGACAAACAGTCAGAAACACAACAGACACTAAAACAGCTGATGGAGTATACACTAACCTGTGCATTATTCAGACACTAGATGGAGACAAACAGCCAAAAACGAAAACAGCTGATGGAGTATACACTAACCTGCACATTATTCAGACACTAGATGGAGACAAACAGTCAAAAACGAAAACAGCTGATGGAGTATACACTAACCTGTGCATTATTCAGACACTAGATGGAGACAAACAGTCAGAAACACAACAGAAACTAAAACAGCTGATGGAGTATACACTAACCTGTGCATTATTCAGACACTAGATGGAGACAGTCAGAAACACAACAGAAACTAAAACAGCTGATGGAGTATACACTAACCTGTGCATTATTCAGACACTAGATGGAGACAAACAGTCAGAAACACAACAGAAACTAAAACAGCTGATGGAGAATACACTAACCTGCGCATTATTCAGACACTAGATGGAGACAAACAGCCAAAAACACAACAGACACTAAAACAGCTGATGGAGTATACACTAACCTGCGCATTATTCAGACACTAGATGGAGACAAACAGTCAGAAACACAACAGAAACTAAAACAGCTGATGGAGAATACACTAACCTGCGCATTATTCAGACACTAGATGGAGACAAACAGCCAAAAACACAACAGACACTAAAACAGCTGATGGAGTATACACTAACCTGCGCATTATTTAGACACTAGATGGAGACAAACAGCCAAAAACACAACAGACACTAAAACAGCTGATGGAGTATACACTAACCTGTGCATTATTCAGACACTAGATGGAGACAAACAGCCAAAAACACAACAGACACTAAAACAGCTGATGGAGAATACACTAACCTGCGCATTATTCAGACACTAGATGGAGACAAACAGTCAGAAACACAACAGAAACTAAAACAGCTGATGGAGTATACACTAACCTGCGCATTATTCACACACTAGATGGAGACAAACAGTCAAAAACGAAAACAGCTGATGGAGTATACACTAACCTGCGCATTATTTAGACACTAGATGGAGACAAACAGTCAAAAACACAACAGACACTAAAACAGCTGATGGAGAATACACTAACCTGCGCATTATTCAGACACTAGATATAGACAAACAGTCAGAAACACAACAGAAACTAAAACAGCTGATGGAGTATACACTAACCTGCGCATTATTCACACACTAGATGGAGACAAACAGTCAAAAACGAAAACAGCTGATGGAGTATACACTAACCTGCGCATTATTCAGACACTATATGGAGACAAACAGTCAAAAACTAAAACAGCTGATGGAGTATACACTAACCTGTGCATTATTTAGACACTAGATGGAGACAAACAGTCAAAAACACAACAGAAACTAAAACAGCTGATGGAGTATACACTAACCTGCGCATTATTCAGACACTAGATGGAGACAAACAGTCAAAAACACAACAGAAACTAAAACAGCTGATGGAGTATACACTAACCTGCGCATTATTTAGACACTAGATGGAGACAAACAGTCAAAAACACAACAGACACTAAAACAGCTGATGGAGTATACACTAACCTGTGCATTATTTAGACACTAGATGGAGACAAACAGTCAAAAACACAACAGAAACTAAAACAGCTGATGGAGTATACACTAACCTGCGCATTATTCAGACACTAGATGGAGACAAACAGTCAAAAACACAACAGACACTAAAACAGCTGATGGAGTATACACTAACCTGCGCATTATTTAGACACTAGATGGAGACAAACAGTCAAAAACACAACAGACACTAAAACAGCTGATGGCGGTTGGGGACTTTTTCTCTCATCAGTAAAACACTGATGTTTCCAATGTGAGCTGGTGCTGTCCAACAGAGCGCCTCATGCCGGAGGTGTTCAGCAATAAATACAGAAGAGCGATGAGCACTGGATGAGCAGAAATGATCAGACGGCACGCAAGAAAAATCGCCCAATAAACTGGAGGATATTGAAGCGCTCTCCGTCTCCTGATTTCCTTCATCCGCAGACATCTGCATCTCTCTGAAAACTCATTTTGTGCAGGGAGACACCTCGGGCAATGTTTGATCAGTGCATTATGAAATTAATTTGGTCTTTCTTCAGGACAAAATTGGATTACCCTGGGAAATCAAGAGAAAGACGCTGAGATGAGGAGGGGGACGGGAGAGGAGCTAATTCTGTTTTCGTGGCTTGAGTGGAATTCATTTCATGGCGTTTGGCTGTGCAATCCACTCGGATACGGGATCTTGCCAAATTAGCGATATGAAGCAGTGGATTGGAAGCACAGCTTTATATAGCTTCTGCATCTGTTTATCCACACTATAATGATGGCAGAAGCATCACGTGTGCTAGTAGGATTCTGCTGGTTTCACATTTTTAGTTGAGATTATTTGTTTTTATCACGGTACATAGAACTGACGCGATATTAATATGTTAGCTGCACTAAAAGGTTACTTTAGCAAAACATACTAATACAGATAAAGTCAAAATGATTATGCAAATATTTCCCAAATGATGATGAACAGATTCAGGAGTTTTTCACGGTATTTCCTTTAATATTTATTCTTCTGGAGAAAGTCTTATTTGTTTATTTGGGCTAGAATAAAAGCAGTTTTTAATTGTTTTAAAGCCATTATAAGGTCAATATTATAATCCCCCTTAAGAGATCATTTGTTGCCAGAATTTCACCATTAAAATATGCTAGAAACCTTCAAAGATAATTTGTTGCCAGATTTGTACTGCTAAAAATACGGTAAAAACCTTCAAAGATAATTTGTTGCCAGAATTGTACCATTAAAAATGCAGTAGTGTCCTTAAAAGAAAATTTTTGTTGCCAGATTTGTGCCGGTAAAAATAAAATCAGTTAAAACCTTCAGCAATATTAGTGTTGGATTATCTCCAGAACAAACCACTGTTATACAATAGCCCCTTTCACACATACAGACCTTTCTGGAAAATTGCCGGAAATTTTCCAGAAAGGTTGTATGTGTGAACAGGCCCTTTTTGAAAATACCGGTAAATTCGTTCTGGCTATTTTCCGGAAAGAGAAGTTGTAAGATTACCGGTAATTTGCCGGAATGCTGCGCTGTGTGAATGCAGAAGGAAGATTGCCGGAAAGAGCGCGTGCACGTCTAGAACGTGCTGACGTGAGACACCTGCTTTAGCCAATCAGAACAGTCAGACGCATTCACGTGCGCGCGGTTTATGAGAATAAAAGCCTTTGAATATTTTTCCAGACACATTTAGCTGCTAGATGTTTGTCAGATCACGTTTATATGTTCCTTCTTAATGCTGTGTAAATAATTATCGATAAAATGTTTATGATTATCCGTTGTTTGTTTACCTTCAAGCTTTGCGTGTGCCTGTGAGCGCCCATACCGCCAGCACACACACATATCATGAACATCTCGACATGCGAAAGTGTTCCTCTATATGTTTTCATTGGAGTTGTACTCAATACTGATCCATCCAGAGAGCTTGTAATGTAGTCAAATGTTTACGAACACAAGCGCAGCCGTTTAAAGCTCATTTCTGGTTAATGATGTCAGAATTTACCGGCATTTTGCGATGGATGTGTGAATGCTCTTTTCCAGAAAAGTTCCGTAACATCCTCGCCAGTGTGAACAGCGCTTTTTTAAATTTACCGGTAAAGTCGTTCCGGAAATTTTCCGGATATTTACCGGTATCACTGTGTGAAAGGGGCTATTGACTTGCCTAATTACCCTAACTTTACCTTAATTACCCTAGTGAAGCCTTTACATGTCACTGTAAGCTGAACACTAGTGTCTTGAAGAATATCTGGTCTAATATTATGTGCTGTCATCATGGTGAAGATAAATGTATTTCTCTTCAGTTATTAGAGATGAGTTATTACAATATTATGTTCAGAAATGTGATGAAAAATGGTTAAAGTACACTGGACTTCAGCTGTATTTATTTACAATGTGGAATCGTGGGATGGCTACAAATGCAGTGGCTTTAAATTGAAATGGCCTACAGCGAGTGGAGCATGTGGGAAAGCAGCGGCGACAAACTGAGATTGGATTTAAACAGCATTATTCAGGCAATTTCATGGCTGTTTAGTTCCATGCAACACAAGGAAGGTGGGAAAACGTGCTCTATTTCTGAGCGGTAAATCTGCCGGCAGAGAATATGATGGAAATGACACCTTGATGGAGTTTCTGACATGAAAAGAAAAGTGCTGAAATTAGGACAGACTGTGCAGCGGTCAATCAAAGTCAGCGAGGGGTGGACGACTGAAGGAGATCTGGGAAAATAAAAGAGAGATGCGAACACAACGCACTGGGCTTCATTGAGCGTCACGCGATGCCGAGCTCACGTTGTTCCCGTCTGCGATTGATTTGGGACTTCATTTCATTCCCGGCCCACAATGAGCCTCCAACTGTGAAAATGATTCAATCTACAAGATCCATCTCATAAAGGGAATCAATTGAGTGTTTAAAATGAAGGGAAAGCTGAGGTGGAGGGTCCCGCAGCTCAGAAACACTCGCGCAGATTGGGGAAATCTGAGGACGGGGGATCAGAAGGAATGATGGAAATGAGTGTGCTTGAATACAGAGCTGCTGCTTCTCAATGGAATCAGTCAGAGAGCATTACAGAGCCGTGAAATAACCCACGGTGTACATGTGCTGACTGGCAAAACAGAAAGTGTGCAGGAGTCTACCTTTAGGAGTACAATCCTTCATCTTTTAAGGTTTTTACCGTATCTTTAAATGGCACAATCTGGCAACAATTATCTTTTAGGATTTTTACCGTATTTTTTAATTATGCTAGCACAAAATGCCTTTGAAGGTTTCTACCGTATTTTTAGCGGTGCAAATCAGGCTACAAAACGTCTTTAAAGGTTTTTACTGTATTTTTAACCTACCGCATTTTTAAGGGTACAAATCTGGCAACAAAACGTCTTTGAAGGTTTCTACTGTATTTTTAGTGGTACAGATCTGGCAACAAATTGTCAAAATGTTTCTACCATATTTTTAACAAAACGAATCTGGCAACAAAATATTTTTAAGGTATTTTTAACGGTACTGGTTCTGATGCCAAAACCAATATTAATACCAAATACTTAAACTGGTTACGATTCAGACACATATACCAATACCCATACAGATGCCAATACCATCTGGGCTGTATGATGGAGATCAGCAGTGATTGGCTGATCGCACATAATTAAAACCATAAAGATGTAATAACTGATCTGACTCCAAGGGTAAAGTTCACCGTACGACTACAGCGACACAGAGGAGGAGCTAACGACTGACAGCCAATCAGAATCCACCCTCAGACTGAGAGATGAGCGTTCAGCTTGCAGATGTTGAGCAGGCCTCGACTGGGAGATTCATGTACATTAAATCTTGCTCTGACACACACACACACACACACACACACACACACACACACACACACACACACACACACACACACACACACACCTAATAAGCTCAGTCTAGACACATTATTAATATTAACAGACATTAATAGACGGCCCAGAGCGCATCTGAATCTGCTGTGACTTTTACATCTGCTCTCTCAGTCGTGTGTGTGTGTGTGTGTGTGTGTGTGTGTGTGTGTGTGTGTGGATCTGCAGACACTTTATACTTTAAACTATTAAAATGTTCATATAAGTCCCATATTGACATTGAGAATCAGAAATAAATGAGGGGAAAATAAAAAATTAAAACCCAAAACACAGGAAACTGCTGATTTATAGTGCAGTTTATGCACGTTTTGTCTGATCAAATAAGAAGTGGATCCTACTCAGTAGTGTGTGCAATATGCACGCACATCTTGGCCTTTCCATCAAGCATGTTTATGTCATAATCCAAAATCTGCATGAAACTGCTGCTGACTCACATCACAGCAAACACTCATTTAATAAGGTGATGCATGGCAACAGTTGCTAAGGAATGGCTGGTTGGTGAAGTGTGAACTCTTACTGGTGTGCGGCGGAGTTTCCCGGATCCTGGCGGCACAGGAGAACTGATGCTGCTGCTGGCTCTGCAGACACGCCAGCATGGTGCAGGCCTTCAGCAGTCTGCAGACGCACGAACAAGCAAACACCGTCAGAACACACACTTCTCATCTCAAACATTCAGTCTAAATGGTCTACAGGTGAAGTCAGCCCAAATGATGTGGAATTTTTCACAGTATTTCCTCTAATATTTGCTCTTCTGGAGAAAGTCTTGTGTGTTTTATTTGGGCTAGAATAAAAGCAGTTTTTAATTGTTTTAAACCTATTTTAAGCTCAATATTATTAATATTCAGCAATATTAGTGTTGGATTGTCTCCAGAACAAACCACTGTTATACAATGACTTGCCTAATTACCCTAACTTTACCCTAATTACCCTAGTGAAGCCTTTACATGCCACTTTAAGACTAGTGTCTTGAAGAATATCTAGTCTAATATTATTTACTGTCATCATGACAAAGAGAAATCAGTTATTAGAGATGAGTTATTAACACTGTTCTGATTAGAAATGTGTTGAAAACAGTCGTGTCTGTTTTCAGGAATTGGGGAAAAATACATGGGGGTGAATAACTCTGACTTCAACTGTATCTGAGCTCATCATTATTCATTCATTCATTTTATTTTCAGCTTAGTCCCTTTATTAATCAGGGGTCGCCACAGTGGAATGAACCACCAACTATTCTAGCATATTTTTTTTCACAGCGGATGCCCTTCCAGCTGCAACCCATCACTGGGAAACCTCATCATTATTTTTTATTATTTATTTATTATTATTATTGTTTGCTAAAAGCAGATGGTTCAAATAAATCAATAGAATACCTAATCAGGGAGAAGAATATGCTTTTTTTAACCAAAAAACTATCAAAATAACAACATCAGTTCTTTGACGGATGTTTAACAGCATAAGGGTGGCAGCAAATCATCACTCACATGAGATCCACCAAAAGCAAACCATAACGGAGCCTTTCCACATGAGTGTGCTTCTCAGCATTGAAGTGGTCATGGCTGGTAAACTCAGAGCGAGGTGAATGGGAGAGTATAACACATCATATCAAAGTCCTATTTGCTGAAATAATGACAGAAAAACTTCAGGATTGTGTTATCGAGACATTAAGTAGGAGGAAAACAATAGTGTGAGACTGATAACGGCAGCCAGAAGAGAGAATCATGTCAGATTTACTGTCCTGCCCCCATACACACTGCATTATTCCATTCAATTAATCCTTATTTCTGTAGCACTTCTATAATATAGACTGTGTCTCTACTAAACTGAAGCGGTGTCAGTCCAGTGTTCAGAGCTGAAGTTCAGTTCAGTGTGGTTTAATCTTCACTGCTGAAAGTCCAAACACTGAAGAGCAAATCCAACCAGTGGCGACAGTGGAGGAACAAACTTCACCAATTGACCAAAGTGAAGGAGAGAAACCAGGCTCAGTTGGGCTCCACCATTTCTACTCTGGACAAACTTCCTGTGCAGAGCTGCAGTCTAGGCGCCGGAGGCTGGAGAGCACTGGACGTCCAGCGTGGAGAAGCTGCAGGTGTGAGTAGGTCACCGGCGGGGTCAGTCTCATGCTCTCCACTCCTCCATGACCACCACAGCATCTGATCAGGATACAGCCAGGTCCAGAGTTATGGAGACCTCTAGATGTCCTCAATGGTTTTTATGGTTTTTATTACAAACACCTCGCACAAGCATTAATTCATTTTTTGTAATTTGATGCAAAGATGATATAATACATACATAAATACATATAAATGTCCACACACACACACACATACACACACACACACACACAAAATCTAAATCTAAGATGCTGATGACCATTAAACACGTATAACACACTTGTGAAAGCAATCAATTGGCCACTGAGATAATCAAGAAGCATCCAGAAGCAGACACACACAACACAGCAGAGAAGAAAAGCTGTGATTGAGTGAGGGTTTCATGCATCTCAGGTGAAGCCGCACGTGTGTGAGATGTGGACGAAGCACATGACAGTATTAATCAATCTCTCAGCGTGTCATCAATCTCGGCTGCTCTCAGAATGAATAAACACTGCGAGGGGCAGATGGGAAGCAAACCAACACCGGCATACATCACCTGTGTGACAACTTACAGCAGCAGTGAGCTCAGAAACACCTCGCCTTTCCTTCAGCAGACACGCCGACTTGCATGTTTAAAGACACATGAACCATTTCTTCATTAAAATATTCAAGAACAGCAGAACAGCGCTGACCTGTGAACTGATATTAACCCAAATGTTTGTAAGAATGTTCAAATCCAGAGAAATAATCTGTTTTAGCTAGTTAGACGGAGTGTACGTGTGTTTATGCCAGTGACGTACCACACCATCCATTTTTTATTGTTGTGTAACCATAGCAACTGTAGAATCACCACAACAGATCAATATAGGTGTTGTGTAACCATAGCAACTGTAGAATCACAACTGATCAATTACTATAGTTGATACATTACCATAGCAACTATAGAATCTCCACAACACATAAATTAAAATAGTTATTACGTAACCATAGCAACTATAGAATCCCCACAACAGATGAATATAGTTGTTGCATTACCATAACAACTGTAGAATCACAACAGATCAATTGCTACATTTGATGTTACCATAGCAACTATAGAATCACCACAACAGATTACTATAGTTGTTGCGTTACTACAGCAACTGTAGAATCACTACAACAGATCAATAAAGTTGTTGCATTACCATAGCAACTGTAGAATCACAACAGATCAATTGCTATAGATGATGTTACCATAGTAACTATAGAATCACCACAACAGATCATTGCGTAACCATAGCAACTATAATCACTACAACAGATCAATATAGTTGTTGCGTAACCATAGCAACTGTAGAACTACAACAGATCAATTGCTATAGTTGATACGATACCATAGCAACTGTCGAATCACCACAACAGATCAATATAGTTGTTACCATAGCAACTATAGAATCACCACAACAGATTAAATCTAGCCCTTTCCAGTGGTATGGTTCTGAAACACAACAGTACTTCCGAAAAGTCCGTGTGTGGTTTAAATCAGTGAGGCTGAGTGGAGCATGATGGTCAGTAAATGTTCTTTTTTGTAGATGAGCAGTGCTGACTCTTCTGAAGCGTCTCTCTGGCTGCTCTGGTGTCAGGCGGCTGTCAAACTCTGCCTGGTGAGGACAGTAGAGGCTCAACAGTAAAGCATTGTAAAGGCTCCACTCTCCGCCGTGATAAGAGTATTAGCAGGCCCAGAGCAGATAACGCTGAGCTTCTGTCTGCAGAGAGCTCCGATAAAGCCTGGAATCTGCTGTCTTCATCCTGCAGCTCAGAGGACACCGTCATCAATATATAGAGGAGAGCGCAGGGTGTTTGAGGACAAACTCAGGCTTCACTGGGACTCTTCATCTGCTCTGAGTCTGTGTGTCCACTGAACTGAGGCCACGGCAATGTCCAAAGTCTGTGGTCCGTTTAGTACAGGACTTCAAAGTGTGTGACAGGCCGCCCAGTGGCCGCTCTGATATCAGAATGAGCCGATAACTGAGCGTTTCCCAGCGGAGTCTGGATTCATCCGTGAAGCTCCTCATACATTTTTAATGTGATCCATTACTCCAGGATGAGCGATAAGAGACGCTCGCTCCTCTTTAACTGGGCTGCTGTTCAGCATTAGTGCTAGCAGAGCAGCAGTGAAGACAGAGAGATGCTCAATAACCACTGGAGCACAATCACAACTTCATCATCATCATCATCATCATCAAAATCATATTCATCACCACCATCTTCATCATCAAATAAATCTTCTGTCAACACCTTCATCATCACCATCAAACATCACCTTCATCATCACCATCATCTTCATCAAAAATCATCATCTTCACATTCACCACCATCATCTAAAATCACCTTCATCTTCATCAAAAATCATCATCACCATCATCATCATAAATAAAATCATCTTCATCAAGAAAAACCATTATCATCTAAAATCATCAAATATCATCATCATCATCATCATCACCATCTTCATCATAATTAAAATCTTCATCATCATTAAAATCATCTTCATCTAAAATCATCATCATTATCGTCATCTTCTGAAATCGTCTTCATCTTCATCAAAAATCATCTTCATCACATTTACCACCATCACCATCTTTGTCTTCATCGCCATCTGCGTCATAATCGAAATCATCTTCTTCATCTTCATTTAAAATCATCATCATCTTCATCAAAAATCATCATCATCATCATCACATTCACCATCTTCATCATCTAAAATCAGCTTCATCTTCATCAAAAATCCTCATCATCACCATCTTCGTCATGAATAAAATCATCTTCATCATGAAAAATTATCATCTAAAATCATCTTCATCATCATCAAACATCATCATCATGATCATTACCATCTTCATCATAATTACAACCATCTTTTTAATGAACAATCATCTTCATCAAAAACCATCATCATCATATTCACCACCATCATCACCATCTTCATCATTTCAAATCAGCTTTATCTACATCAAAAACCATCATCATATTCACCACCATCACCACCTTCAACATCAAAAATCATCATCCTCATCATCATCATCACCATCATATTCACCACCGTCATCACCATCTTCATCATCTAAAATCAGCTTCACATTCATTAAAAATCATCATCATCATAAATAAAATCATCTTCATCAAGAAAAATCATTATCATCTAAAATCATCATCATCATCATCCTCATCATAATTCAAATAATCTTCATCTAAAATCATCTTCATCATCATCAAACATCAGCATCTTCATCATAATTAAAATCTTCATCATAAAAAATCATCATCATCTAAAATCATCATTATATTCACCACCATCATCACCATCTTCATCATCTAAAATCAGCTTCATCTTGGAGGCCATTTGAGTGCAATGAACTCATCGTCATGTTCAAGAAACCAGTCTGAGATGATTGAGCTTTATGACATGCTGCGTTATCCTGCTGGAAGTAGCCATCAGAAGATGGAGACACTGTGCTCATAAAGGGATGGACATGGTCAGCAGCAATACTCAGGTAGGCTGTGGCGTTGATGCTCAATTGGTACTAATGGACCCAAAGAAAATCTCCCCCACACCATTACACCACCACCACCAGCCTGAACCGCTGATACAAGGCAGGATGATCCATGCTTTCATGCTGTTGAGGCCAAATTCTGCCCTGAGCATCCGAATGTGTCAGCAGAAATGGAGACTCATCAGAGCAGCAACGTTTCTCCAATCTTCTATTGTCCAGTTTTGGTGAGTCTGTGTGAATTGTAGCCTCAGTTTCCTGTTCTTAGCTGACAGGAGCGGCACCCGGTGTGCTCTTCTGCTGCTGTAGCCCATCCGCCTCAAGGTTGGACGTGTTGTGTGTTCAGAGATGCTCTTCTGCAGAGCTCGGTCAGTTTCTAAAATACTCAGAGCAGGCCGTCTGGCAGCAACATCCATGCCACGTTCAAAGTCTCTTAAATCCCCTTTCTTCCCCATTCTGATGCTCGCTTTGACCTGCAGCAGATCGTCTTGACCATGTCTACATGCCACTGCTGATCTCTGGTGATCTGAAGCGCTTTTATCCTCCCTTGTAAGTCAGCTAAATGAGTGAATGTAAACTGATGAGCTCAAATCTGCCGCCTGTCCCTTTAAATCTATATTCTAGAGTCTCCTGTCAGTGTTCATCCTGCGCTGGTGCACTATGGACACTTCAGTCAATCTCTCTCACACACACACACACACACACACACACACACACTTCTGGATCATCAGATGCTGGCAGAGACACACAGACTCACTCATAATAAACACACATTCTAACATAGAAACAGAACACACACTCATATCTTAAGATATACATTAACACACACTCTCTAACACACAGACAGAACACACGCAAACCCCAAGCCCCCCCCCCCCCACACACACACACACACAAACATTCTCTCTCTCTTGCTCCTAGACAGAACACACTCACATTCTCCATTCTCTCGCTAATACATAGACAGAACACACACACACACACACACACACACACACGCACACGCACACACACACACACACACACACACACAGAGACAGACAGACAGACAGACAGACAGACGGCGGAGTGAGAGCAGCACAGGATGACAGGATCTGACAGACGGATCGGAGCTCTCTGTGTGTGTGTGTGTGTGTGTGTGTGTGTGTGTGTGTGTGTGTGTGTGTGTTTACCCTGAACTGAAGCTCTGAAGTGTCCGCTGAAAGCAGCAGAATGCATCGGTCAGCAGCGGCTCAGTGGTCCTCCAGCGTGACTTAACTTCATCATCATCTTCCTCATCATCATCCTCTTCTTCAAATGCACCTGCTTCACGGTGTATCCGCGACACCTTCCATCCGAGCAGCAGTAACGGTCCAGAATCACACTCAGCCGCTGTTTAACCGCCAAACGGAGCTATTGAAGGCCCAATCGCTGAGAGTTCGCCGATTTATAGAGTGTTTTTATAGGGTGAAAATCAGAGGATTGCGCGAGCTGGAGCTCTGATTGTGGTCCTCAGCTTCTGATCTCACACACCGGCGACGCGATGCTCCAGAGTCCGCTAACCGCGCTTCAGCGAATCACAACGCAGCTTCTTTGCGGGCGAGCCAATCATCAACGAGAGTAGGCGGGACTTAGAATGACGCCGTCCATGCAGCTGAGTGTAAACTCTTAAAGGCGCAGTGAAGTCATGTGCGTTTGTGATTGACTTTTTATAATTAATTACAAAGTTTGCAGCTATTCTTATCTTCCATACTGCTCATTTAAAGGTCATGTGAAATAAAAAAAAATATTATATGTTATTTTTAGCTTGTTAGTCTCAAGGATATCTATAATCCAGCATGCTCCTAAACAGTGACACAAATTTATAAAATATAAAACCGATATGAACATCCAAAGCTTGCAGTTGGTCACTTCCACATAAATAGATCAACGACTTTTTTGACCTCACCTCATACTTCAGTTTCTCATCATATCTTATGACCAATAAGAAAAAAAAATCTTCTGACCAATCAAATGCTCTCTAGTATCTGACATGCCCCGCCCCCTTCTTGTCATTGGCTTTTCATTTGATGCGCTTGAGCTCAACCACGCACACTGGTATCTGATTAAAATAGGCACATATTTTGTTACTATTTACACGCAACTCTGATAGTGACAGTGTGTATAGTGTGATGACGTGTGTTAAATAAACATATATTTTCCCTGACAGTATAAAAGAGACTCAAGTATAAACAACTCTTAGAAATACAGCAGATTTGACTAGTCTCTTGCTTCTGCAGTCAAACAAAAAATCTACATTGTCTGTAAATGCAGCCGGCGCTTCCCAGCGGTGAATAAATCTCGCCTGACAGCCATACACTGAGCACATTTCTGAGACGATGAGAGGCTTTCTCCACATCTGAGGACAGCGAGACCTTGACTAAACTCAATTCACTGGGAAATGATTACCTCTGAGCTTTAATTAAATGTCACAGTAAAATATTCCGCGAGGCTAAATCATCATGTAGACTTACAGTGAGCACATAATCTCTTATTAATGTTATGGGGATTCTTACCCAGGACTAATTATGAAGAGTGAAACAGTCACGAAGATCCTCCGGTATGCTCCATCCATCTGAAAAGTGCAGGATGTGGACTGTGCAGCAAATTAATTTTATTTTCCATGGCTCTCTTCCCTACGCTTGATGTCTGGTTGGAAAATAATAATGATTATCTCCGTGAAGAATGGCTTTGATATTACCAAAAACCAGGGGTTTGTGAAGACCGAATGCATGCTTTAAACTCAAAAGCAGCAGGCTTATGCATGTATTTCAGTGATTTTAATTTAGAAGAAATTAGCATTTTTAAAGAGACTCGCTGATGGTGTGAGGCTGATCTTCTCCAGTAGGATCACTTTCTAAATACAGCATGCTTTTATTCCTAACTATAGCAAAGCCAATGAGCTGAAACAGTTACTTTACTTTTTAAAAAGTGAGTAAACCAGGGGCGGCACGGTGGCTTAGAAGGTTTATACTGTGCCCAAACAAGTTGGTGTTTAAAAGACATCTAATTGGGGAATTACCAACCTACGTCACACGGGTTCAACCACGCACACCGGTTGCCAAAAATAATCTGATATCAGATGTGGCTAATGGACAGACGGCTGCTTCTCACTCAGGGCTGAACTGTTTATGCTAATGAGGTAGACTAGTGGGCGGGGCTTTCCCTCTCTGATGACACGTACAAAGGGAGAATGTCAATCAAAATGTTTCTGCATCAAGTCTGATTAGAACAAACACAATTAATTTTTACCAATAGAGGCTGCTGAGATATTAAACCCTTAAAAAAAGTGATTTGTGCATGATAGGTCTGCTTTAACGTTTAAAGTCAAAGCTTCTGCTTCTCCATTGGTTTTCTGGAACAATTATTGTAAACACAGGCATCTGTGAAGGCTGATCAATCTTCATCATTCAGATAGCTGGTGAAATGTGTGTGTGTGTGTTTCCGTGGAGCTCGGGGTGGGTGGACGATATGCTCACTTGGCTGGCAAAGCAGCTGGACTCGCACATAAATCACATAATGAAGGGGATGGAGAGTGTAAATGGTCAGTAGTCATCTGCGGTCCTCCATCACCCTGACACCCTCCGCACAGAGAAAGAAATAAGACACAGCCCACAAACGTCTTCTCCATAAAAGAACTTCCTGATGAGACGAATCAAAGGGCAGCTATGATGCAAAATCATCTTTTGGGAGCTGTTTGAACAGAAGTGTGTGTGGTATAGTGTGTTCACAGTCATACTGGAGTGACAGAAACACAAGTGTCTTTTTAAACATTTTAAAAGAGGATCCAAGTCAGTGATGCAATGATCAGCAAATACTGCAAAAGCTCTGAAAAAGTTGAGCTTATATATGTGTAGTAGTCAGATGTAATTCAATTCGTCCATGAAAGTAATCTAAATGTATCCTTAATGTAATCCAAAAGTAGTCAGATTACATTACCTTAAAATTAATGTAAATGTAATCCAAAAGTAGTCAAATTACCTTACCACAAAAGTAATCTACATGTACTCCAAAAGTAGTCAGATTACCTTAAAAGAAAAGTAATCTTAATGTAAGACAAAATTAGACAGATTATGTTACCATGAATATAGAATGTAATCTAAATGTAATCCAAAAGTAGTGAGATTGAATTAACATATAAATAATTTTACTTTAATCCAAAAGTAGTCAGATTACCTTACCATAAAAGTAATCTAAATGTAATCTAAAAGTTGTCAGATTTCATTACCTTAAAATTAATCTAAATGTAATCCAAAAGTAGTCAATTACCTTACCACAGAAGTAATCTTAATGTAATCCAAAAGTAGTGAGATTATGTTACCTTAAAAATAATCTTAATGTAAACCAAAACTAGTCAGATTACCTTACCATAAAAGTAATCTAAATCTAATCCAAAAGTAGTCAGATTACCTTACCACAGAAGTAATCTAAATGTAATTCAAAAGTAGTCAGATTACTTTACAAAAAAAGTAATCTGCATGTAATTCAAAAGTAGTCAGAGTACCTTAACACAAAAGTAATCTAAATTTAATGCAAAAGTAGTCAGAATTCATTACCTTAAAATTATCTAAATGTAGTCCAAAATTAGTCAGATTACCTTACCACAAAACTAATCTAAATGTAATCCAAAAGTAGACAGTTTATGTTACCATAAAAATAGAATTTAATCTAAATGTAATTCAAAAGTAGTTAGATTACCTTACCATAAAAGTAATCTAAATGTAATCCAAAAATAGTCAGATTACCTTGCCAAAAAAGCAATCTAAATGTAATGCAAATGTTGTCAGATTTCATTACAATATAAATACTCAAAATGTTATCCAATAGTAATGAGATTATATTACCATGAAAGTAATCTAAATGTAATCCAAAAGTAGTCAGATTACATAATGATAAATGTGTAATCTAAAAGATTATATTACTGTTAGTAACTGACTACACTTCATAAGTAATCCGTTCAAGCCTAAAACCCAATATTCATTTCAGTTAATAAAATGAAAACAAAAACAGTTATTCAATTTATTTATATTACAATCTCCAGCTCTGCAGAAAAAAGATGTCAATAATGTGAAAAACACAAACCTCATTACATATATTTCCTCAGTCAGTTCATGCATTCTCTTGAAATGAAGTTACACAAACACAGACATTAAAATGTATTTTATTGAGCTCAATCATACAGGTGTCGAGCATATTCTCTGCAGCTTACACAAAATTAAATACACTAAACTCTGTGCATTTAAAGTGCATAATACTAAATACAACTTCAATATTCGGCTCAAATATCAGAGCAGATGGTGATTAGCCCTCACAGATACATAGCACTGCAGATCCATAAACACATGTGTCCTATATATCATACTGCTCACAGGACTGGCTTTATTTCAATCAAAAACACATGATTTAATATCACTAAATCATCAAACATCAAATGCACCAACTGTATGGGTTCAATCTTGAAGGTAGCATTATATATATGTATATATGGATTCCCTAGTTATCATCAGAAAGTACAGCATGCTGAAGAGTTTTCAGTCCTCAAAAAGACAGTGCACTTGGCAGACACTTTCATCTACATCTTTACACTGCATTGAACATATATGCACTGGAGAAATCCCCTGAGACGTGGTGTTTTGTCAACGTGTTTGTCATTCGCAGATCTGCTGTTTGTCCCTCAGCTACGGAGGCAGGGCGGAGCCGCGTGGGATGATGTCAGCAAAGGGGGTGGTGTCAGTCTGTTGTAGTCAACCTCAATCCCAGGAATTGATGAACGTTTGAAGTGAGGAACTCTAGAATAAATGGAGACGGTGGTGATGAAACTGATGATACTGTAATGATTACTGTGGTTTACTTTAGTTTTAGCTACAGTAACTGTGGTATATTGTATTTTAATATAGTACACACAAACACATTTCTATGATTGTAGAAAAGTAAAAGAATCGGATAATTTGCTTCTATTACTACATTTGTCGTGTTACCATAGCAACTATAGAATCACCACAACAGATCAATTACAAGTTATTGTGTTACCATAGCAACTATAAAATCACCTGAACGGATCAATTTATATAGTGGTTGTGTTACCATAGCACCTGCAGAAACACCACAAGAGATTAATTATTAAAGTGGTTGTGTCACCATAGCAACTAAAGAATCACCACAACAGATAAATCACTATAGCTGTTGAGTTACCATAGCAACTGAAGAATCACCACAACAGATCAATTACTATATGTGTTGTGTTACCATAGCAACTGAAGAATCACCACAACAGATCGATTACTATAATTGTTGTGTTACCATAGCAACTAGAATCACCACAACAGATCAATTACTATATGTGTTGTGTTACCATAGCAACTAGAATCACCACAACAGATCAATAATTATAGTTGTGTTGCCATAGCAACTGTAGAATCACCTCAACAGATCAAAAACTGTAGTATTGTGTACCACAACAGTATTACTTTACTACAGTAGGGGTCAACACCGCTGTAGCCTTTACAGTATTAAATCAGGTTATATTGGCTGTATTGTATGTGAGTGTGAGTCCCACTGACTGACCCCTCCACATCTCTGTGCTCGTCCTGTCCGCCTCCGCTGGCCTCACACTGGTCCTGGAACAGCTCCAGCTCCTCCTCCTGCTCCTGCTCTTGCTCCTCGATGGAGGTCTGGGATCGGGGGAACCACTGCTGCACCTCCTCCTCGCTCTCTTCCGACGGCTCCACCACGATGGATGGCAGACGCTCCTTCAGCCGAGCCACACTGTTGCGCACCTCTGCTGGATCCTGATCCTGATCCTGCTGCTCCTCCTCTGGGTCAGGGAAAATCTGCACAACACACACATACTTTATGGAGAAACAGAGATATCTGCACAACACACACACACTATGGAGAAACGAGGACAGGGTTAAAGGGTTAGTTCACCCAAAAATATCAATTCTGTTGTCATTTACTCTTCCTTGTTTCAATCCATTATGAGTTTCTTTCTTCTGTTGAACACAAAAGAAGATAGTTTGAAGAATGCTGAAAACCTGTAACCACTGACTTCAATAGTATTTGTTTTTCCTACTGTGGAAGTCAATGGTTACTGGTTTTTAGCATTCTTCAAACTATCTTCTTTTGCGTTCAACAGAAGAAAAAAATCATGAGGGTTTGGAAACACGTGAGGGAGAGTAAATAGTGAGTAAATATTTATGGTTGGGTGAACTGTCCCTTTAAACTCACGCTTTAATCTGCTGTTTAATTTCAGGCGTACAGAGAAATAGCGCCCTCTTCTGCCCATACAGGAACATTAACAGCACGTGTGATCAACAGAAAACAACCTGCCCAGGTAAAAGAAAACCCTAATGCTAAATCCTAATGCAGAGCAGAAACACCACACACACACACACACACACACACACACACACTGAACTGTTTTTGTAATTCACAAGTGTTTTCTGTTTGTTGTGAACTGCATTATGGGATGTTGATCTCTGCTCTGTCCACTTCTGATGTTGTAAATTTAACTCTACAGTTTAACAAAGTGACTTTTACTGACATTTTAGTGGTTTAAATAATATAAGGTTTTAATATCTAGAGGAATAAGAGTGTGAAATAGCAGAACATGTGCTGCAGTTTATTACAAAGCTACTGTAGCGTAATATACAACACCAACACACACTACATTACTGCACTGTACACACTTTTACACACGTTTCAAGGTTAAAACCTGCTGGAAGAAAGATCAAGATCCCATAATGACATTCAAAAGCAGAAATAAATGAGGAAAAAAAAAAAAAACCTAAAGCTTTATGAGCTAATACTAAGATTAAAATGATAATAATAGTTACACTGAAAAAAATGTTGTCTGCAAAATTGTTGCAAACAATTTATTTGTGTTGAATTTAAACAAACACATTAAATTTAGTGATGTTCAACTTAATTGATTTGTTTAAAGTCAACATAAACCAATTGTTTACAACCCCTTAACTTAAAAAAATTAAGTAAATTCAAGGAATCCTCTTTGAATTATTTTCATCATGTTAGGTCATGATAATCTGTATCATGACAAACTAAAATGTACGTTTGGTTTTTAAAACCTGCAGATTTAATCTGATCCATGAAGGCACCACTACAGTTCCTGACACTCTGTACCCTAACAGTGTCAAGTGTGTTCCTTCAAGAACTATTAAATGGCGTTTATTCAAAATGCAGCAATTTATTTTCAGTAAATATAAAACATCAAATACATTTATTAAACATTGTTTTTTTCACAGTTTATTTTTGTGTTTAGTTTTTCCATTTACAATAAAGAATAAAAATACTTTAACATCAATCAAAAGATCTATTTTTTTATTATAGAATATCACTTTGCCTTTCCAGTCATATTTATTTTCATAGATAATGTAATAAAGAAGGAGCTGTCCAGCATGTACCGTTTATATCAGAACAATTGTGTTCCTTCATTTCAATTGTACCATAAAGGGCACTCTCAGAAATACAGGTATGTGAGCTTTCACTGGGGTGCTTCCCTTTCAAAAGCTACACATATGTACTTAAAGGGTCCGTATTAGTACCCCAAAAGCATATATTAGCACCTACATATTTTAAGAGGAACTTTTTTACTAATATATGCACCCTTGAGGTATTAATATGGACCTTTTAGGAACAAATTTGTACCTTTTGAAAAGGCAGTGACAGCTCCTGTACCTTTGTTTCTGAGAGTACAGGACAGTATCATGACTTTTCTATAAGGTACAACTTTTACAAAGGTACAAAGGAACACTATTTGTACCACTGTGTACCTTTTTTCTCAGAGTGAGGTGATATATTTATTGTAAATAATAAAAACGGTTTTGTTTTATGCTCAGAAATGACTTAGAAGTGAGCAGCAGACGAGGGACTTGATTTTGAAGATTATTATTATAATTATCGTGTCTCAAGAAGACACAAAACCTCAACCCCAAACTGTGCAGTCTGGGATAACGTCAGCCTTATTAGTTCTTCATGCAACAACAGTGAATCATAAAGAAACAGAAGGAATCAGTTATAATAACTCCAATAACAACTGGACTCAGTCATGTGACGGTCTCTGTGATGATGAAGATGATGATGAGTACCTGATAAGACACAAGTTCTCCTCTCCTCTGCAGTCCAAGCTGATCCATGCTGGAGTCCTGGGGGCCTGTGGACATCACACTGCACACACACACACACACACGCACACACACACACACACACTGTGAGGATGCATGCATGGCTGCAGAAACGTGACTCTTAAGCACGCATGTGACTCTGTTCTGCATTAAACACACAGTATGAGTGCACTTACAGACCCTGTGCTGCTGTAACTGACCAATGTGCAGCAAAAATACATTTAAATGCTTCTTAAATCAAGAAGCATTTACTAGACTAGCAGAAGATATAGTGTTGTTTTCAGAGTTTTTACAAGCAGAATAATCTGCCAATGGGGCGAGTAACACAATATGATTTTCACTTTGTCCTAACATTATTTTGCTTCCCCCACTGGCACATTAATTTGCTTATTTTGCTTCTCACTCTGGGCTGCTCTTTATGCTAATGAGATGGGGAGATGGGCACTAGTGGGCGGGGCTTTCCCCTTCTGATGACACGTACAAAGGGAAAATCACAATCAGAGTTTCTGCATCAAGTCTGATTATAAACAATACAGCTGATTCATGTTGACCATTAGAGGCTGCTGGAGATACTCACACACTGCTGACACACACACACACACACACACAACTGGGTTTAAACCCTGCATAAAAGTCTGCATAATAGACAGCCACACACGTGCATAGGCACACTCCTCCTCATGTGCATGTTTTAAAGCTTCACAGGTGTGTGTGTGTGTGTGTGTGTGTGCCAGAGCTTTAATCACAGTAAGATCTTAATGAGGTAACAGCTCTTCATGCGTCACGGTGAGTCTGAATGACCCAGCAGATCAGATCAGAGAGTTTCTGAACACACAGCCCTGAGCGATGGTGCAGTCACTTGAGCTCACTTTTCTCAAGTAACCTGTGAAGTCAAGTTCAATAAATGAGTCTGAATTGAACAGATCATTAAACAAGTCACTGATTCAAATGTGTTTAGAGCGAATCTTCACTAAACAACTCACTGATTCAAATGATCCACTTAGAGTGAGTATCCAGTAAACAACTCAAAGATTCAAATGATTCATTTAGAGTATCCAGTAAACAATTACCTGATTCGAATGATTCATTTAGGCTAAATATCCAGTAAACAAGTCACTGATTCATAATCCATTTAGAGTGAGTATCCAGTAACCCACTCTTTAAATCAAGTGATCTGTTTACAGCGAGTGTCCGGTTATCAACTTACTGATTTGAATGATCTGTTCATTCAGATTGAGTCTCAGCTAAACAACTCACTGATTCAAATTATCCCTTCAGAGTGAGTCTCTACTAAAATACTCAGATTCAAGCAAACTGTTTGGAGTGAATCTTCCCTAAACAATTCACTGATTCAAAGAACCATTAAGACTGAGTCTCCAGTAAAATACTCAGATTCAAGTGATCCATTTAGAGTGAATCTGGGCTAAACAACTCACTGATTCAAATGATCTGTTTAGAGTGAGTCTCCAGTAAACAACTCACTGATTCAAATCATTTGTTCAGAGCGAGTCTCCTTTAAAATATTCAAATTATTTCAAATGTATGTGTCGTTCTGTGCAGTCTCCATTAAACAACTCACTGATTCAAATGATACATTTACAGTGAGTTTTCAGTTGCCAATTCACTGATTCGAAACATCTGTTTATTCAGAGGGAGTCTCCACTAAACAACTCACTGATTCAAACAATCCATTCAGAGTGAGTCTTCACTAAAATACTCAGATTCAAGTGATCCACTTAGAGTAAATCTCCACTAAACAACACACTGATTCAAATCATCTGTTTACAGTGAGTCTCCAGTTAGTGACTGACTGATTCAAAGGATCCATTTAGAGTGAGTCTCTAGCAAACAACTCACTGATTTAAATGAGTCTCCACTAAATTACTCAGATTCAAGGGATCTATTTAGACTAGAGTGAGACTCCACTAAACAACTCACTGATTCAAACGATCCATTGAGATAGATTCTCCACTAAAATACTCAGATTCAAGTGATCCACTTAGAGTAAATCTCCACTAAACAACTCACTGATTCAAATCATCTGTTTACAGTGAGTCTCCAGTTAGTGACTGACTGATTCAAAGGATCCATTTAGAGTGAGTCTCTAGCAAACAACTCACTGATTTAAATGAGTCTCCACTAAATTACTCAGATTCAAGGGATCTATTTAGACTAGAGTGAGACTCCACTAAACAACTCACTGATTCAAACGATCCATTGAGATAGATTCTCCACTAAAATACTCAGATTCAAGTGATCCACTTAGAGTAAATCTCCACTAAACAACACACTGATTCAAATCATCTGTTTACAGTGAGTCAGTTAGTGACTGACTGATTCAAACGATTCTTTTAGAGTGAGTCTCTTGTAACTGATTCACTCCGAACTGATCTGAATGAGGTGTGTTTTATTTCAAAGTTAAACATGAGGTCAAAGTAATTTATATAGTATTAGTAAATTATTGACCATAGTTTCACCGCTGTAATAGATATACTGTGATTAGATTCCAGGTGGTTCGCCTTGTTAAAGCGTATATAGTGTATATAAGTGTTTATAAGTGTATATAAGCGTTATAGCGTATATAAGTGTAGTTATATACTAGTGTAACAGAGCAAAGAAGTGTTAAATTAATACCTAAAGGGGGACAGCGCCCTCTAGAGCATATGTGGAGCAGAGACGGCCCACAGCAGAGTTAATGAAGCATTGCTGGGGGTAAGTTGCACGTTTCTCCCGGGTGGAAAATGACCATTTTAAGTGTTGAAAGCACGTAAATATTGGCTTTCACATGACTGAATGTTTAATGAATATGTTGG